ATCACTGAGGAAGTAGGCACAATGGAATAGACAATGAAGTCAGGGCTGACCCCGTGTTCCTGAGCCACCTAGCATTCCCAGAAACTGTAACACAAGGGATCCCAAGGTGGTGGAGTATCTGTGGCCAGGCCTAACTATGGAAAGGGATCTGCACTTCTGAAGAATCACTGCAAGTTACACCACTATCCACCAGCCTACGTCACAGTACAGCAGCCTGTGCCAGTACAGTCTCAATAAACAGAGCAGCAAGCGAGAGGGGAGCCTAGAGGACCAGGCTTGGACTCCTTGTATGATCTCTAAGGAAAAAGGCTGATCTGTTCCTTCTTGCTGCCTCCAAAGTTCTCCAGTAAGCACAGCATTTCAGAACAAGATTGGTGGCAAAGGGAGAGACCTAAGAAGAGAGACTAAATTTCATAATAAAAAAGCAGTAGAGGCTCAACTCAAGAAAAAAATTAAGAAACAAACACAATAAACTTGATCATACTCAAGGCCTGAGTTTTAGGAACAATTTATTCTGGTTATTCAGTAGTACACATCTCTGTTTGTGCATACTTTAAGCTGCTGAAGTACAACACGTTCATGTTTTTAATTTGGGTTAAAAAAAATCCTTCCTTTTTTGGTATGAAAAACAACTTTTCAAGCATAAAACCATTTCAAAAAAATAGGCTGATTTATATGCCAGATGTAAGCAGCATCTTTTCTGACTTCTTGTTCTTTTTTGTTGTTTGTTTGTTACCATAAATTTCTCTCATGGGACTTCACAGAGAGTTAATGGCAAATCACCAAAATATTGTATCATGCTTCTCTTGACCATAAAGGATCAGCTGGGCTTTCTATCTCCTCTAATAGCCATGGGCCTTGGTGGTCTTCATAAGGCCAAATCAGAGGGTTTGGCAAATTATCTGTGTACCAACAGAAACTTCCCCAGTAATCATTTATTTGTAGGTGCACAGTATTTCTCTTTGTAATAGTTCACATAATTTTATTTCAAGTCTGAAAAATCCTTTAGGAAGATATTAGTTTAAATTTATTCTAATTAATAATGTTACAGTTTTAATACTTAGAATAGGGAAATGCAACATAAATTTTTAACGGTACAAAAGAATGCATATATGTATAAGGTAAACCATTAGATTAAAAAAAATCAAAGATTGTCTAATAAAACTTCTACTTTCTAAAATAAAAGAGAAACTAATACCAGATTGCCTCCCACCAAAACCAATAAAACTGGTCAAAAAACGTGAGGCAACTGTTTCTAAGCAATGGGCAAGCAACATAGAACTATAGTGAAACCTCAGTTCACAAATTTAATTCTCGTGGGTTTGTGTACCAATGCATCACTGCACAGTCCTTGAAATAAAGGAAACACAGAAGTAAGTCCCATGTTGGACCTGACTTTCTACCAAGGGGTGTATTCCAGGCTACCACATAGGAAGTAGAATTCACACACAGCTCCAGTCTCACAGAACTGAAGACACAAAGATCAGAGTTTGGGGTGACTGAGTTACTAATAAATGCAGGACCAGGCACCAAGGAGGACAGAGCTGTACATAGGTAAAAGGGTGCCATGGCTAAAATGTTAGTATTTCCCCAAATTCATATGGTAAAATCTAATCACCGATGTGACAGTAATAAGAGGTGGGGCCTTTAGGAGGTAATTAGGTCTTAAAGGTGAAGTTCCCATTGTGGAATTAGTGCATTTATGACAGGCCTCCGAGAGACCCCTCATTACCTTCCACCAAGTGAGAATACAGTGAAAAATAACCTATGAGCCAGAATACGCAAGTAATCTGATGTTACTTTAATCTTGGACTTTTTGACCTTCAAAACTGTGAGAAAAAGAGCTGGGGATTTAGCCTGCCTTGCAAGTGCAAGGACCCGAGTTCTATCCCTGGTACCAAAAAAAAAAAAAAAAAAAAAAAAAAAAAACAAACCAAACAAAAAACTGTGAGAAATTAATTTCCATTGTTTGTAAGCCACCTAGTCTTAGGGCTTTTTCTTTTTTAAAAAGCAGTCTGATGGACTAAGACACAGAGATATAATAAATAGCATACTGAAGAGCACCAAAAAGAGAAAATAGATCAATACCTGATTTTTAGATCACGAAAAAAATTAAAAAGAGAAGAACAAAGTTTTAGTGACCTATAGAATAACATCAAAAATATTAACATGAATAGAGTTCCAGAAAAAATGAAACATGGGGCAGAAAAATATTTGAAGAAATAATGACAGAAAACTTCCCAACTTGGAATCAAGAAGGACATGAAAAAATCCTACATTCAGATACATATTGGGCAAACTACTTTTAATGCAAGAGAAATCCTAATGCAGCCACGGGAAAAAAGACAATATATAGGGTAACAATAATACAAATGACAAATGACTTTTTATCAGAAACAATGGAAGCTAAGGGACAATGGAAAGTCATCTTTAATGTGCTAAAAGAAAAATATCTTATCAACAGAGAATGCTATTTCTAGACAAAACATTTCTCTAAAACTGTAACACTACTGGATTAAGAAAAACTGAGATAGTTTACTACCAGTAGACCTTCACCCCAAGAAATACTGATGGAAGAACTTCAGACTACAGAGAAATGGAAAAAGATGGAAAGTAAATCTAGAGGAGGTAAGAATGAAGACCAACTATGCAATATATATATATATATATATATTACAATATACAGAAAAGTAAAACATGATACAATAGCACAAAGGAAGGAGGGTAAATGGAAGCTTACTCTTGTAAGGTTCTTATTCATATGAAGTGGTACTACATTTTAAGTGTAAGTTAAGGGTGCATATAGAGAGCTCTACAGAAAAATTAAAAAGGAAATAAAAGTAGAAATGGAACATTAAAGCATACTGAGATAATTCAAAAGAAGAGAGAAAAAGACAGAGAGGAACCTGTGTGGAAAGGAGAAACATCTCAGAGGCAAGACTACCTTCAAAACACGCAGGACAAACAGAGTCAGCCTATGGAGCTCACAGTGGAACAGCAGGACTGGAAGAGCTCAAGGCTCATGGCTCGGCTAAAATTTCCTATTCAAAACACGTAGATATAACAGAATAGAATTTCACTTAAAACAAGCAAAAGCAAACACAGACAACACGAATAAAGCTAGGAAACAATTTTAAAATGTGTGTCTCAATTCTTTTATGTGACAGGTGAGATGGAAATAAAAATTACATGGAAGTGGTAGGAAATGTACAACTTTCACTGGTTGTTAGGAGGTGGTGGACAGTGACACGAATGTATATCCTTAACTTTTAAGAACATATAATGGCAGAAAATAATCATATTTCATCACAAAATGTTCTTATATTACAGGAAAACACAGAAAAGAATTGTATTTTATATATTAAGTGTATTTTTAAAAGGTTTACAAATACAGCATTATACCATGCATTTTGATTGTATCATATCATGTATCTTATCTAAATTTCTCATATGAAAGGTTAAGGAATTATCTTTGCAGATATAGTTTCTAGGAAATCTTTAAAAGAATCTGGTTTTCTGGATATCTGAACGGATAAACTTAACGAAAGCTATAATGATGAAACACCAGTGATCCTGATTACCATAATAAACTAAAGGAAAGCCTATATCCTATATTGGCTAAAATTTTTCATATTAACTGTAACTGGAAATAAGACAACTCATTATATGAGGTTATGTTATTCTTTTCAAAGCAAAGTCACTGCTGTCCTAATAACACTTTTATAAAGAGTACTGAAACTAAATATTATGATCTATACACAAAGCCTTAAAATTAAACAGTTACTATGTTTCCATTTAGAAATTTCTGCACTTGAAAAAACTTAGGAGAAAGTACTTTTTAAGTCACAAAGAACCCAGGCATGGTGGCACGTGCCTGTAATACCAACACTCTTGGAAGTATAAGCAGGAGGATCACAAGCTGGAGCTTGGGCAACTCAGTAATTTAGTGAGATCCTGTTTCAAAATAAAAAATTTAAAAAAACGACTGGGGATGTGGCTTAGTGAGAAGGCCTGGGTTCAATCTGCAGACATATAATGAATAAATGAATGAAAACAAAGAAATGTGACAAAGTTTTCATTCATTGATTTTACACGTGTGGTTTTTAACATCATATACCCCTCCAGGTCTGGCAGGTAGTGTTTTGTAACTTTGAGTCATGTATTTCACTGGGACAGACCAAAAGGCGGGCTGATGTTACAAAAAGAGTAAGTAAAAATAATCCCGGCCAAAGTGACATTTTATATCTTTCTCTGCTCATTCCTGAATACACAGTAACTTTCATGTAATACCTGAAGCACAAGGTTTTTAAATTTTTAAATTAGATTTCATTTTTTAAAACATGGGAAATGATGTACAGTGGAATTTGAAAATGTGTGGATTTACAAAGGAAGGTTTATGGAGGCCCCTCCAAAAAATAAAAATAAATAAAATAAAAGAAGGGTTGAATGGTGGCCATCAAGAGAATGCAGGGTTTCAGTACTGTCTGTAGACATATGTTTAGCAGGTGGGAGTGTCAATTCGAGGATTCAAGTCAAATTGTGCTGTTACATTCTAGCACGATTCGTTATTACATCAAAGCTAATGAGCATCAGTCACCTCACTGGAGAATGACATAAAAATCACTATATGTAACTGCCTTAGAGGGTATGAAATGATCTATCATCCAAAGTTCATCTAAATTCTCTTATAAAACTCAGAACTGAAGTAGCTCTTTGCACAACCATCTTGCCAGGGAAGTGAGTGGGAGGGGCAGGGATTGCAATGCACATTTTGCAGTAATTACAGCTCTACCTAAAACATAAATGTTAACTTACGATAAAAGGAGGGACTGTGGGTAAAATGCGACTAACTTAGTCGTATTTCACCCACAGTCCCTCCTTTCATCATCAAATGCATTTATATCCATAGCCAATGCCTGGCTGTATACACAGTGAGAGATATGAATAAAAACAGATTCACAGGAGACAAGAAACCATCGTGTGCTACAGGTGATGATTACCTGGAGGTAGGAATTGCAGCTGGTTGTTAGCTAATCGAAGATGACGTAAGGCTCTCAGACGACCGATTTCTGGGCCAACAATTTCTAAGGCATTGTCACTGAGATCCAGACACTGGAGTTTCACAAGGGACCCAATAGCTTTAAAGAATAGAGAAGGAAAAAGGCAAAATGAGTTTGATTCAAGAGTGACTCTAATGTGCGTTAAGTATTGTAGCTTGAGATATTTTAATACTTAATATTCTTGTGTCATTGAAAAGAAAGTTTTGTGCTAGCATCTGTTTCTTCTTCGTAAGAATCTTTTTTTGTCTATGCTTTGTATTCTGAAAATAATAATATAAAGTGTATTAACTATTGTTATTCTCCATTGCTTTGTTATGAAAATTTCTTATTTTTTCCACACCAAAAAAAATCTTCTCAGTTGCTCACAAGATAAAGATCACACTAAATTCTATGAAACTAATACTTTTACCATGACGTAAACTATAATAGCTTAAAACAGAGAACAAAAGCAAAGCACTAAGGTGCACACCTCCATAATCCCAGCTACTCCAGAGGCTGAGGCAGAAGGAATGTAAGTTCAAGGCCAGCTTAGCAACTTAGTGAGACCCTTTCTCAAGATAAAAAAGAAAAAAAGATTTGAGGGTACAGCTCAGTGTGCAGCCCTGGGTTCAATCTCTAAAACAGTTAAAAAAAAAAAAAAAAGGGAAAGGACACATGAAAATGTTAAAACAATGTAAAATATTGCTTGAAAAATAACCTAAGACACAATGACTAATAACCTATTACACAATGACTTTTTTTATGTAACCAAAATTCTTAACAGGATTTGTTAATTTAGAACTTATTTTATTATTTACCTAACAATTTATCTCATAATTTACCTAGTCATTATATCCACTTTGACTATATTATTTATTTAATTCTAATTCTTAACGGACTTATTAGGGGAAATTTTTCATTTTGTGGTTCGTTTGTTTGGAGACAAAGTCTCAGGAGGCAGCACCGACTGGCCCTAAACTCGCCGGATAGCCCAGGCTGCTCTCGAACTTTTGACGCTCTTACCTCAACTTCCGAGGAGCACTGCAACAGGAGGAGTGATAAATATTTGAAGCAAATAAATTAAAAGAACTTTATAATTAAACGTCCCTAACGCACCTGACCAAAATAGATTTAAGAGACAATTTACTCTATTTACAAAGCAATATTATTTATATTGTCTCTATTAACTAAAAATTTAAAAATTCAATTAAAACTGTGCTTACCTTCCGGGACCACAACTATGTTATTTGAGTGAAGGTATCTGTATAAAAGGAAGGGGAGGATAAAGGGAAAAAAAGATTTTAAAAGTGGAAAAAGCAAACCCACAGGTGTTATCATTCAGTACTTTTACTAGATAATAAGTTACTGTAAAATACTATACTCACTTTGAAATTTGCCAACATAAATGAGACAGCATTTTCTTTAGTACAGCAACCCAAAATACACAATTATCATGGCTACTTCGTACTATTTTGAGAGCTATACTTTATGTTAAAATCACAAATACTAAATCTACTTACTGACTTAGTTATTTTGTAAATTAAAAGCATTTGTAAAAAGTTATGTGGTAGTTTTCAAGCTCATTAAAAATGACTAGTTTCTCTAGTTCATTTTGAATTATTCAGGTTTTTCAGAAATACACCTATTGTGCAAAGAAAAAAGAACAGCTACTGTGTAAAGATAGACATAACTTTTAGCTTCTAAAGGATAACTTCACAAAACTGAGATATTCCTAGCTAATGTGCTTACTGAGAACCAAGAATGGGGAGATTAAATATTCATCACTTAAAGTACCCGTAGAAGCACTCAACTGTCAAGATACAGTTTTGTCAAGATACAAGAATTTATTTCATAGCGCAAGAAATTTTGTAAAGAGCAAGACAAAGCTTTCTCTTTAAAAATAAAAACACTGCCTGGACTGACAAATCCAGGCAAGTCAGTGATTAACACCATGGCCACTGAAAAATACCTTTAGCACACTCTGGTGGAGACTTCACGCCACCATCTGTAACCAGCCAGTCAGTGAGAGGACAAAGCCACTTCAGAGATCACAAAGCAGTGATTCAGAGAACACATTTCTATCACTGCTTTTAGTAAACTATTTCCAGACCTACTGCTTTATTATTATATTTTAAAATAAATCCTTAGGCAGAATTTTAAAATAGAATTTAGATATCTTCCCCTACATTTTTGCTAAAATGTCAATGAACACAGAATAAGAAAAACAGAAAATACATTCATGAAAATTATTCTATGCTGGTTTACATCAATTTTGAGGAAAATATTAACCTGCTACATTTATCAGCTAAGGCCTAGAAACATCTGGACATATATTTCTTAACTTGTTTCCAGGAAAAACCTCAAGGCCATTCACAGAGGTTTCATGTCTCTTAGGGTTTGCAACTGGCTTTTCAAGAATGGACAGGAGCAAGAAGGCAGGGTATCTGGTCCATGACGTGGTGAGCTCAAGATGCCTCCCACAGGACATGACTCCCCTCAGGTCATCCAACCAAAGAGCCGCTTTTCCCTCCTCCCTACCTATAAATGCCCCTATCAACAGCTCAGGGGCAGACTTTAATTTATACCTCCTGGCCTCCTTGCTGGGAGGCTACAAAATAAAGCTTTTCTTTTCACAAATCCCAGTGCTATAGCACTGTCTTCTACATGTGTCAGGCAACAAGCCCTTACTCCCTAACTGTAGGACATGATTTAAACAAATTTACCATTCTATGATAAATTTCATTCCTTAATTTGTGTCTATGAATTGATTACATATTTTTTAAAAATCAACACTCTTGAACATTAATTTTATGAATACCTCTTTTATCAAGTGACCTTAAAAACTCTTCGTTAAACGGTTGTAAATGAGTATTCACATATACACACAAAAATACGCGCACTAGCATTTGTTACACAAAAGCCAGAATGCCTGCATATGAAAATTTATAATGTCTTTAAAAAACTGTTTCAACAAAATACTTGACTCAAGTTCTATATACAAGAATCTTACAATGTCCAAATCAAAATAGGTGCCCACTGTGACTGTAATAGGAAAGCATATTGTACACATTGAGTGTAATGTTAAATGCTACAATAAAGATGCTGCAGAAAGTAGTGTGGTGTGGACCCAAGACCATCCTGAATCCAGTGAATCCCATCCCAACTCTTGAACTAATTCTGATGTGATGCCAGTCAAGGACTACCACTAGCACAGCTCAGTTCCTTTTACAATGAAAAAGACTGGGGACTTCAGGGCATTTCAGGCAGTGAAGGAAATCTCTGTCTTATGGCCACGAATAGCCATCTTACTGACAGTCCTTAGAGTGGTTACAATAGGGTTAGAGTAGCCTCTCGTTAGGGGTCAGCTAATGATCAGACAGAGGCCAACCACTCAAGCAACTGAGCAAATACTATTTAAAAGGCCTGAGGGTAAAGGAGAGGAGGAAACTCTTGCTAACTCATTCTGTGAGGCCAAAATTACAGCGATACCAAATCTAGAAAAAATACCACAAGATGACATAGAGATATCCCTTAGAAAGTCACATACAAAATTATATAAGAGGGCCAGGGAGTTAGCTTGGTGGTTCTACTGCCTGCTTGCAAGCACAAGGACCGGAGTTTGATTCCCGGTACCAATAAAAAAGCTCATACTCCATGATCACATGGGACGGACCTCAGCAATGCGCAAGTGTCAGTGGATGTAAGTGGAATAAGGGGTAAAAACCACACCATTATCTCAATAGGTTAAAAATAGCCACCTGACCAAATTAAACCTTTTAAAGTTAAAAATAATTCAACAAACAAGAAGTAGAAGGGGAATTCCTCACTTATCAAGTACCTGTGAAAATCTTACAGCTCCCATTACACTTAATGGCAAAAGACTGAAAGTTTCCCCTCAAGATAAAAAAGAACATAAAGATACCTGCCTTCTTCACCTCTTTTCAATTTTCCAAGTTCTAGCTCAGGTCACTTATACAAGAGAATAAATATAAGGCACACAGATTAGAAAGGAAAAAGTAAAGCTATCTCACCCCAGCAATTTCATTTCGTTCATATAAACTGAAAATTCACACACATATACTTCTAAAAAATGTTCATAACTGCATTATTCATTATAGCCCAAATATGGGAATGACTCAGTCTAGCAACTGATGAATGGATAAGCAAAATGTAGTATATCCACACAATGGAACATTATTCAGCTATAAAAAAGGAATGAATTCTGGTACATGGTACAACATGCAAGAACCTTGAAAGTATTATGATATACTGAGGGAGCCAGACACAAAAGTCCACATATAATATGATTCTATTCATATGAAATGTCCACAGAGGTAGACTATCCATAGAAGCAAAAAGCATTTCTAGGGAATTAATAGGGATTAGGAGAAGGTGGGAAGAGCTTTCTTTTTAGGCAACGAAAATGTTCTGAATATTTGTACAACCTGAGTATATTAAAAATCACCGAGTCCTACACTTGGAAAGGATAAACTTTGTGGTACGTGAATTATAGCTTAGTGAAAAGAAATGAAACATGCAATTACCATATGACTGAGTAATTGCAATCCTAGGAATTTATCCCAAAGAAATAAAAACTTATCTACTAAACAGCATGTATACAAATGTTCACAGTAGCTTTATTTGTAAGAGTAAGAAATTGGAAACAATGACATATTCTTCAGTAATGAATGACTGAACAAGCTGTTTTCTATCCATAACATGAAATAGTGGTACCTAAATTCACGAATTCAATTCCCTCCACCAACCACTCTGGCATTTCTCAGCCAACTTGGTTTACAATCAGAACTGTGGAGAGAATTAAGTTTGTGAACCGAGGCAACTTGGTATAAAAACCGAGGTATAATTCAGTAATGAAATGGAGCAAACCATTGATGTAGGCAACAACTTAGAGAGAACTCCAAGGATTTACGCTGAACGAACAAAGTCAGTCCCAAATGTCACACACCATATGACTCCATTTAAATGACATTCTAATGACACAGCCGTAGAGGAGTGACAGTCAGGAGAGCAGTGTGTTTCCAGGGTGCCGGAGGAGCTGCTTACACCGATGGAAGTATTCTCTACCTCGATCAGGATCTGTTGATAACAGATCTACACCAGTGCAAGTGATAAAACCCACAGGGACAAATTGCATGGACTAATCACACACACACACACACACACACACACACACACACAAATGGACGCTTGTGAAGCAGGTGAAACTGAAGAGCGAGCCGGCTGTACCAACTTCCACTTCCTGGCGGCGAGGTACTGCAGGAATGCAAGACAGTAACACGAGGGAAACCAGGAGGAGTTTGTGTAGTACTCACATGTGAACCTGCCATTACCTTAGAGTAAAATGTTTAATTTAAAAAGAAGGAGGAATAAAGACTTCTCCAGGTAAACTAAATCTGAGAGGCTAATACAGAACAATATATAAAAGACCTTTCTCACTTTTTAACTCTTTAACCATTTAAATTAAAAATTACATCATCATCTTTTGCCAGTTGGCAGCTGATGGTTTCCTCAACCCAAATCTCCCCTCCCTTTGACAGTGGGGCCGGAATGCGCTGACACATCTTCGCCAGAGGGCCCAAGGTTAGGCCCTGCTGAAGAGGGCACTGGAGTGACTGCCACACAAGAGGAAGGGCTCACCCTGGGCTTCTGTCTCCCTTTCACTGCTTTATTCGGCACAGAAGCCAATGCCAGTGGGCACTCAACTCACCAGACCTGTAGGCTGACCTCAAGCCACATTTTCAAACTAGGACCTCTCTGCCCAGAAGTCAACATTGTGGCAGCTCTGGCTGCAGCCTCAGGCCACGTTCACCCAGCAACACAATTCTGCAGATCAGTTTTAACCCCTTCCAGCCTTCCAGGCTGCTGTACCACCCTGGGGCTACTTCTGTGGCAGCCCTGCCACATAACCAGACAGGCTGATCCAACTGGCCAGCTCTACGCTGCCAGCCTCCCAAGGACAGCAAGCTGCTAAGACAGAGCACATCTGCCCAGAGCGTCTACGAAGTCTCTCTAGCACCAGCAGGCTACATTTTCTTGAGGCAGCCCTTCCTTCTTTGAAGAGACCTAAATTTCAGCCTGGACCGGAGCTATCTTCAGTCTTTTTTGTTCCTTCACTGTCTTCTTTGCCTCAGCAGAGGCAGTGGCTGCTTTTTTGTACTACTGAACTTCACGGTCTTATTTAACCTCTACTTAATGACATTTTTGCTACGTTAGAATTCTTTATGTTAATTTTCTGTTTAAATTAGGAGTGTAGTTTCTGTCTCCTAATTGTAAAAACACACGCATGCACACAGGACAACAGCACAAAGGATGGGAAGGATGAACTGGAAGAATGGACGTAAAGGTACATTACATATGTGCGTGATGTAGTAACAATGCTGTGTTAGCTCACAGAAGCATGATATAAACCTTATAACACTGAACTGAAATAAAGTCAACAAGCTAACACTCATACCAAAATGGAATCCTGAATAACACTGCAATCATTTTTAAAAAGGAAAGAGAGGGAAAATAATGACGAAGAACAGCCAGGACAAATAAAAAACAAGTAGGAATACAGTAGATTTAAATCTTAATCTTAATCGTACCGGTAATCACATTAAATGTACACCAATAAAAAGGCCAAGATTGTCAGGCTGGTCAATAATCAAAGGACCAGGGTTGGGCAAGTTGCTCAGTGATAAAATGCTTTCCTAATATTCATGAGGCCCTAGGTTCAACCCTAGTACCACGAGAAATAAATAAAAAGTAAAATGATCAACTAATGTTGACTTCAAAAAAATCCACTTTAATGATAAACAGGTTAAAATAAAAGAATGTGAGTTCCAATTCTAGTACAGCAGAATAAACTCCTACTGGACTGATCTTCCGGCAGGTAACAAGTGAAATACCCAGGAAAACTATCTCCCTCCCTTTCTTCTCCCTGCCCGACCCAAGGTACTATACTGCAATGTAAACAAAAATACCCATTTCTGGAAAAGAGTCAAAACTTAGAAAAAGGAATGGTACTGGGTGAGTTTGGGTTCCCTTTTGTAAAAAAATAAAAGAGCATCTTTAGACAGCTACCATGTAAGGTGCCTAACATTCTGACAGAAAATTCTACTCTTGCCAGCCTAAAGGATCAGAGGACAGAGTTTAGGGCAATCACAACCACTAAAAAGTAAAGGAATAACACCAGAAAGAGCCAGGCTGAGGAACCCCAAATTGTATGCATAAACTCTACCTAAACCAATAGCTACCTTCAGAACATCTATGTGTAAAAAGCTACCCTGAGGACAAAGGAACTACTGTATTGTAAGATTTCAGCTGCACTGCAACAGACAAAAATTATTGTCAGAGTCACATCAATTAAATTATCTGCTAAAACAAAAATATCAACACTGTTTAAGGAAATATAATAACTTCTGGTCTCCAAAACATAACTTTCCCAATTTCTAGAATGTAATCTAAAATTAAAATTATTCAACATACAAAAATCCAGGAAAAGGTGACACATTATCAACAATAAAAATACCAACAAGGGGAAGGAAGCAAGTAAGATAACTCACATGTTGCAATTAGCCGAGGAAGATGTTTAAAGTAGCTACTGTCATCTTAGATCATACAGAGTGATATGAAAGTATAATAAGATAATCTTGAAGACAGAGAAAAATAACAAGCTGTATGTAGAAAATGATTAAAATTGCACTACTTCTTAAGAATCTAGTTACCAGAAAACAGTTAAAATACTTTTTAAAAGTTCAGGAAAGAAAAGTCAAGCCAAAATTCAACAGTCATTATGTGCATAATCTAGTCTGGGTTATTATGCTACATTACTCATTCTCATGATTATTTTACCTTAATGCCTAAAGGCCCCAATGATATTTTCCTTAGCTTTAAAGCCTTAAAAAGTATTTAACAAAATCCTGGGCCCAGGACACTAAAGTTCTTAGGAATGAATGGTGTGGGAGGCAGCCTGAGAGGGCCCCCACCTGGCCCTCAGGCCCAGGGAACAGCTTCACTTCTACTGGACAGAACACAGTAAAAGAGATGGGATGTCTTTTCCAGAATCCGGTTAGAAAGAGACCACGCTTCTGTCTTTCCTAGCCTCTCTTACCCTTTTGCTTGCTTGGTCTATAGAAACATGAGGTGTTGCCTGCAGAGAGGGCAAGTGGCAGAGAGCAGAGAGAATCCTCTACTTCATCAGTAGCTAGCAAGAAAGTCGTTTGGTCCAGCAGCTACAAGCAGCTACAAGGAACTGAATCCAGCCAACAACTCCGTGAGCAAACACAGAAGAGAACCCTTCAGATGAGACTACAGCCCTGGCCAACAAACTTCACTGTAGCTTTGTGAGAAACCTTGAGGCAAAGGCATCCAGCTAAACCATGTCCAGAAAATACAAAAAAAATTTTTTTTTTTTTTTTTTTTTTGT